CTCCTGAGTAGCTGGGACTACAGGCACGCGCCACCATGCCCAGCTAATTTTTTGTAGTTTTAGTAGAGACGGGGTTTCACCGTGTTGACCAGGATGGTCTCGATCTCCTGACCTCGTGATCCACCCGCCTCGGCCTCCCAAAGTGCTGGGATTACAGGCTTGAGCCACCGCGCCCGGCCACTCAACACACTTTTAAGAAACCAAGCTGCATCTCAGGATTGACTTTCTTAAGAGTATTCACTAGCACATTAAAGCATGCTTGATGGCAGCACACGCAGAGACAGTGAATTCAAATACCTGTGTCTGCCATTGAAAATTCTGCTACAATAGAGAAGGACAGTACAAGTATTTGTACCATCTTTCTTTGGGTATGTATTACTGTGTGTCAGAATTACTCAAAACCATGGTTAAACTCAGCATGTATATTACTAAACTGTCCATTTTATTAAAAAAAGGGGGTATATGTCTAAAATGAACATATTCTCGCATTAGAACATTTCGAACATAATATGCATGCTTTTGAGAATAAAGGGTGTTAAAAAAAAAAAAAAAGAGCTGGCTCAGGCATTACTGGTTTGTTTGTTTTTGAGATGGAATCTCCCTTTGTCAAGCGCAGTGGCATGATCTCAGCTCACTACAAGCTCTGCCTCCCAGGTTCAAGCAATTCTCCTGCTTCAGCCTCCCGAGTAGCTGGGATTACAGGTGTGTGCCACCAAACCTGACTAATTTTTCTAATTTTAGTAGAGACAGGGTTTCACCATGTTGGTCAGGCTGGTCTTGAACTCCTGACCTCATGTGATCCGCCCGCCTCAGCCTCCCAAAGTGTTGGGATTATAGTTGTGAGCCACCACACCAGGCCCAAGGCATTACTGGTTAATGCTGCAATTCCCTGGAGATCCACATTCATGTTCTTCTTGCAGAAATGTCTAAGAAACTCTAAAAAGAAAGGAATGATTATGTAAACATACCTATGTCAGTTAACTTAGGCAACACTATGTAGTACGCAGACAAAATAGATGTCAGTAAATCCATGTAGTAAAAACTCCTACAGTTTAGTGACAGAAGCCTGTATTTACTCTTTCTAGTAGTTATAAATCTAATAAATCTACTCTTCTACTTTCTAGTCTGTATCAAATTAGAAAAGAGAAGCTGCGAAAGCAACTGCAATGACAGCATCAGTAACTGAAACCTGAGAGCACAAAAGTAGAAAAATCATAAAGCAAATAAAAACTTAATATTTATACTACATGAGGGTCGGCCAATAGGCAGCAAAAAAGATGAACTATGTTATGACTATGAGTCACCAAAAAAAGCCTGCTGGGTGGGGTAGCTCATGTCTGTAATCCCAGCACTTTGGGAGAATGAGGTGGGCGGACCACTTGAGGTCAGGAGTTTCAGACCTGTCTGGCCAACATGGTAAAACCCCATCTTTACTAAAAATACAAAAATTAGTCAGGTGGGCAGATTACTTGAGGTCAGGAGTTTGAGATCTGTCTGGCCAAAATGGTAAAACCCCATCTCTACTAAAAACACTAAAAACTAGTCAGGCATAGTGGTGGGTGCTTGTAATCCCAGCTTCTGAGGAGGCTGAGGCAGGAAACCTGATTGAACCTGGGAGGCGGAGGATGCAGTGAGCCAAGACTGCACCAGTGCGCTCCAGCCTTCGTGATGGAGTGAGATAATATTTTAGTAAGATTACATAACTAATGAATAGGCAGGAGAAAGAATTAGAGATGATTCCCATGTTTCTAGAATAGAGCAAGTAGATGAGCAGTATCATTAAACTGTAATATGATGCAGACTAGGGGAGTAGTTTAAAATCCATGTCCTAGAATTAATCTCCCATAGTCACTTGTATAACTTTGGTTCCTCATCTGTAAAAACACCCTACCAGTGCCTACTCAAAGGGTTGTAAGGGTTAAATGATTTACAATGGTACCTTAGAAGAAACAACAATAAATATTAGCTATAATTATAACAGGTGTTTGTTAGGGTGCAGTCACTGGGCTTAGCATGGGTCACGTTGAGTTGGGTGTCTGAAGGACACTGAGCAAAGCATCAGCTCCACTGTCAGGTCCCTGGAATCAAATACCAGTTCCAAACGCCAGCAGATTAATCTCTATGGACATCAATTTCCCAATCTTTCACAGTAATAGGAGTAAATCACTCACAGGGTTTTTGTACAGATTAAATGAGAATATGCAAGTGAAATACTTGGCACAATGCCTAGCACATGGCAAATCTTTCAAAAATGACAACTGTTATTACTGTCATATGTGTGTGTGTTTATGAATATAATCATATTATGTTTGTTAGGCAATCTATTAATTCAGCAGGGAGGCCCTAGGCTGAAGATTTGGGAGTTACTTATAAATATGATAGTTGCAAGAAAATGAAACGCCAATGAGAAGTCTGTGAGCCCACAATATAAACTACAGTCAGGGAGATAGGTGAAAAGCTGGGAGACAGAACCATTACAGAAGGGAAGAGTTTTAAGGAAGATGTAGTCTCTACTGTGTGGCATCAAAAGGGGCTGCAGGTTTTGAGGACAGTCCACTGAATCTGCAAATAGGGAGTCACATGTAGCAAAGCTGTTTATGGAGGGGCAGAAACTTAGTAGGCTGGAGCTGAGGAACGATTAGAAGGTG